GACCCACTGAATAAACAATAAATAAGAACAATCCTACCGAAAAATAATTACAACTGAGAACTTGATGAATAAACAATGAAAACAACAACTCAATAATCTCTCAGGGAGATCACCCGCCAAAGCGGATACTCGCGAGGTTTGTTCGGTTTCAACATAGACGGAGGAAATTTTTACATCGCTAGTATAAATCTGGCCTAATTGCCACATTTGATCGAAGAGAGATATTTACGCAAAAAAACTATCACAGTTCACAAATGAATTAGACATTATCTTAATATTTTACCTTAACCTGTCGAAATTAACGTATTGCCGCCCGCGCACAAAACTAGCTTTTTCCGGTTTCCGGTGTACATCAAAGACAGGCATCACGCTGAATATTATCCAGACTGAGAGCCGTACATCAGAAAAAAATCACAATTACTAAATTTCACTTTTGAAACCAACACGACTTGTCGTAAGATCGGGCGCATCGCATAAGAGCTAAAGACTTAAGAGGGGGAGAAAATAAAAATCTACTGAATTATACACACTAACGATATGAACAAAAACAACAACTCTGTAACGACTAGCTAAAACACGATCGATTCAAGCTGTGACTTAATTACTTTATACTTTATCACCGCTTCTTAGGTATGGGCGCGCTGCCTGTAAGCCATTAGGAAGAGGAGAGAAAAATCTACCGAATTATACAACTAAAGCAATGTAAAAAAACTGCATTTACAAGCTAAAACACGATCGCTTTTAGCTATGGACTATTCATTTTTAAAAAATCTCCCTTCACCTCTTAAACTTGGGCGCGCCGCCTGTAAGCCAAAAGGGAGAGGAGAGAATAATCTACTGAATTACCAAATTAGCACAGCGTAAGAAAACTGCAATTTGCTAGCTAGTAAAGCATGGTCTATTCAGGCTACGAGTTTTTTACCCTTGAAAAAAATCTCTCTTCACCTCTTAAACTTGAGCGTGCCGCCTGGAAGCTAAGAGGGAAGGGAGAGAAAAATTTACTGAATTATCCAAACTAACAACGCATGAAAACTGCAACTGGCTAGCTAGCTAAAACATGAAGATTCAATCTACGAGTTTTTTACCTTAAAAAACCTCTCTTCACCTCTTAAACTTGGGCGTGCCACCTGTAAGCCAAGAGGGAGAGGAGAGAAAAATTTACTGAATTATCCAAACTAACATAGCGCATGAAAACTGCAATTGGCTAGATAGTAAAACATGATCGATTCAAGCTACGAGTTTTTTACCATTGAAAAAAATCTCTCTTCCCCTCTTAAACTTGGGCGCGCCGCCTATAAGCTAAGAGGGAGAGGAGAGAATAACCTACTGAATTATCCGAGCTAACACAGCGTATGAAAAACTGCAATTGGCTAGCTAGTAAAACATGATCGACTCAAGCTACGAGTGTTTCAATTTAAATAAATCTCTCTTCACCTCTTAAACTTGGGCGCGCCTCCTGTAAGCTAAGAGGGAGAGGAGAGAATAATCTACTGAATTACCGAACTAACACAGCGTAAGAAAACTGCAATTGGCTAGCTAGTAAAACATGGTCTATTCAGGCTACGAGTTTTTTACCCTTGAAAAAAATCTCTCTTCACCTCTTAAACTTTGGCGTGCCGCCTGTAAGCCAAGAGGGAGAGGAGAGAAAAATTTACTGAATTATCCAAACTAACATGGCGCATGAAAACTGCAATTGGCTAGAAATTAAAACATGATCGATTCAATCTACGAGTTTTTTACCTTAAAAAATCTCTCTTCACCTCTTAAACTTGGGCGCGCCGCCTGTAAGCTAAGAAGGAGAGGAGAGAATAATCTACTGAATTATCCAAACTAACACAGCGTATAAAAACTGCAATTGGCTAGCTAGTAAAACATGATCGACTTAAGCTACGAGTGTTTCAATTTAAATGAATCTCTCTTCACCTCTTAAACTTGGGCGCGCCGCCTGTAAGCCAGAGGGAGCAGAGATAATAATCCACTGAATCATCCAAACTACCACAGAATATGAAAACTGCAATTGGCTAGCTAAAACACGATCGATTTAACGATCCGAGTCCTTTTTACTTAAAAAATCTCTCCTCACAGAATGCGTTCCTATAATCCATTCCTGGAAATTTGGATCTGTAAATCACTTTCGGTGGAAATTTAACATCGTGCAGAAAATACTAAACAAGATGGGCCCAGCGTGACAAAAATTGAAGGAAACCATCACATTCACGGACAAAAGAATATCGCCTTTAGTTATTCAGATCCAGGAGGCACTTTGGAGAAGAATAAACAACCTAAAACTCTTATTTAGCCGCAAAGGAAGGATTTACGTTTCAAAAGAGGTCGAAGAAAGTGCTCTTGCATTAGGGGGCAAATCATGCCGACCAGAAACAATAACTGCAGAAAATCAATATACCGTCAATATGCGTGTCATGACCTCTCAGTATGAAACAAGCGGCAAAATTCACATTTACTTATTCAAAGAGTAAAACCCAGAATATAATATACCCAC